ATATATATATACATATATATATACATATATATATATATATACATACATCATATATATATACATACATATATATACGTTCTAATATTTATTTAATATTCATTGTAATGCATATCTTCAAGAAACAAACTAATATATTAGTTCTTTCCATTTGTGTACTTTTTGCTTTTGTAGAAAAAGTATTATAACAGTGTTGCTGAGGATTTAACAATTAAAGTTCTCTAATGAAATTTGTTTATATTAAAGTATTAGTGCAGTGCAGTTGGAGTAGAAGAAAGCAAAATTCATTATCTAGAAGAGATAAATTTCTATTCTTGTTTAACGTCATATTGAAAACAGGATGCAGCATTATGTGTCCTCCGTGTTGCAGATTATAATTAAATTTCATGACGTTTACATAACGCATAATTGCATTCTTGTAATAATCTAATGTTTAATTAAAATAGGTTTCAAATTACTATATACAGAGTGTCCAAAGAATTGCACGCAATACTTCGCAAGGTGATATAGGACCTAAAAAGAAGAAAAAAAATTATATAAACATAGGTCCGAAAATGAGTTGTTTCCGAGTTATATTCACTTTTAATGTGAAAATAATCGTAAATAAATCGTAATAAAAATTACAATAAATTATAATAACCGTAATAAATAGTAATAATAATCATAATAAATTATGATTATAAAATATAAATTACAATTTTTAACAAGTAATTTTTAAAAGCAACTATAATTTAAAAAACGGTAATTTCTATTTAAAAAAATTAACTAAATTACAGTTTTTTAATATAAAAGTAGCTATAATTTTTAAAAGTCGTAATATATTTTTTATTGTCATAATCATAACTTATTATGGTTATTATTATTACGATTTATTTATAATTATTTTAACATAAAAGTGGCTGTAACTCGGAAACAATTCATTTTCGGACCTATGTTTATATAATTTTTTTTTCCTTTTTTCCGAATCATCTCCTGAAGTATTGCGAGCGATTTTTTGGACACCCTGTACATGTGTACTATGTTATATGTTGATATAATAATATATTTTATTTTGAAATTTTTCACAGTTATATGAAGTTATAAATACGTTTCCAGTTTGTGTGGTATAATATGACGATCTTGTTTCGCTTTATTTACACAAAAGCGCCGATGTATCAAACACAGGATTATTTTAGCATGACATATTCCCGTACCAAATCTCTTTCCTGTTCCACGTAATATATAGATTACTATTATTTACATAAGAGCAACGTTTTGTACCATTACCATTTTATTATAACTTTTTTATATCTGTAAAAATAATTATTGTTTGCCCGTCAAGAGCCATTAAAAACTCCTGACGCATTATTTCAAATGAAATCCGATCGGTTATGTTAATCCAATTTATATGAATGCAAATGTGTATGCTGGTAGCTCCACGTTTTTTAGCAATATTTGTTTTAATTGAAATTCAATCTATATATATTTCTCTCATTTTGTTATAAATATGTCTATAAAATTTAATTATTCATTTGACATTTTAATTTGCTAAATAAAAGTATTTTCCATATTAAGACAAAATTTATTTGCATAAAAAATCCGAAGTTTTTTATATTTTTTATCGTATATTTATTTTTATCACCTATCTTTTACTTTTTATTATAAAACTATTTAACCAATAATAAACATTAAAACAGTAATAAAAACTACTAAATGAATTATTAATATATAGTTATTAATATAATAAATAATAATTAATTATTAATATATAGTATTATTAATATATAGTTTTTTAAATATTTATTCGCATTATCACTGTTCGTCAATTAATATACGTCATATAATATGTTTTAGATATCGTGGATCCGGCGACGTGACTTTCACGTTTTAACAAGCTCAATGTTCACATACACGAACGACGAGCGATTTCAAGTACTGCATCCCGAGGGCTCTGACGATTGGACCCTTCAAATAAAATACGTCCAAGAAAGAGACAATGGGACGTACGAGTGTCAGGTAATGTAACCCACTGCACGAACGACCTTGTTACGGATTAATTAATTCAATGTACTTTAACAAGTGTTTCTCAACTTTCACTCGCGCGATGTGTCATTCTCAGTGGCTCGTTTTACCACTTTATCGTCCGCCAACTTCTCTTTTTCGTTTTCTTTGAAGAGTGAAACTAATCGCTCGATTCGCGTTTTGCGCGAGATCCTGCACCATTTTTTCTCGGTTTATCATTACTAATAATATTTTCCGTTGAACTCTCGCGACCAAGACACACGTCTTCTTGATATAACATGCAAATTACTATCTTCGGATATATATTTCTATCTTCAATTTGGATGGACATTTCAGTAACATGCTACATGAAAGTATAAAGAGCGCGCAGCATATCATCGAGTGATATATACCAGATATGTACTGCGGGAGTAATAAATCTTCTATTAATAATCCTTCTATTAATAATTCCAAACATCGCTAATTATGCACACCGCAATGTATGCGTCATCAATTAGGCATTGAGCGCAGCGTCGATGTATGCCCGATAACTAATATTATAAAAACATTTATTATTGCAAAACATTGCCCTGCATGTTTTTATATAATCTTTTTTTTAGTAATCGATATTTAATATTAGTAAACTATTAAAGGAAACGTGAGAAGAGATAATATTTGTGAATTGTAAAATTTTTGCTTACATATACGAGATATAAAGTATTCGATTTGAATTGAAAATCGTTGTCGGAGACAAGTTTCACAAAAATGCTATAAAAATCACTTCAACGTAGATATAGAAAATAATAATTTCGACGTCCGGTTAATAGCTCCGTAGCTGGACAACTAATCCGAGGCTAGAGAACTTTTTCGTCGCGTCGCTATAGGAAATATAATTTTAAGTACGATGTCGGGGACACTAACACGTAAATCCGTATGACGTGAGCAGAACGGATAAACCGTTCTTGCTGCATATTCATACATTTTTCCGACTAATGGAATGGCAAATACAAGCCCCGCGGCAAGCGACGTGCGAGCGCGAAAGAAGTCGGACAGCGTGAATAACGAGACATGATGCCCGGCTTGCGTTCGCCGTCGAGTAAACTCCGAAAACCTACAGCAGTCTCTGATCTTTTCGTGAAAGTTTCTCCGGGTGAAGGCTCAAGTTTCGGATAGGCCTCTTATGTTAATTTCGGGGGGTGCGAATGCAGTGTAGCCGCGAAACTTCTTCCGGTGAACTTAGAGAACTTCCGTTTTCGCACTGCTCACTTTCTCTGTTTCGCTTCGAAGGACACCTTTAAGGGACACCTTTAATTATCAGTAAATAAAAGAGATGCAGTCCACTTAACGTTACAAATGCTTGAAAGTATTTGACCAATCAGAAGAAAAAAATTCTACTAATTAACCAATAAAAGAATGCTTTAATTTAAAGCATTTGTAGCGTTCAAGTAGAATTCATAATCGATATAAGACAATATTCTTCGAACTCTGCACATTTTATTGCAAAATTAGCTAAAATAATTGGGAAATCATTCATTGAATTCCCAATCGTAATGATCATAAAATCAAAATTCGTTTAGGTCTGTACAGAATAAAATATCTGCAATAATAAATACAGGTATTGTGTTTAATTCATTGGAAAGAACGAAATGATACATAAAATGATTAACGACAAAATCCATTTATTATGAAATAACGAATACGTTATAATTAAACGATATACAATAATGGAAATTAATAAGTATTCAATGTACAACGTAATATTAAAAGCCGATTATATCACTGAAATTTAGAGATTGTACTTTTAGACAATAATATAATTATAACGAAGCTAATGGATGTTGGACAATAGATAGGTGCTAGTTACATTTACAATAATTTGTCTAGAATTAATAAGAATATCCAGTAATTTAGATAATTGTAGATACATGAAATCTATTTTTATTCGTTAAAAGTACTTTGTGAATTATTTTAAAGCTTTTTGCGGCCATACATCCCGAAATAAGCCCGACAGTCAATTTTATTTGTAAATTGTATTTTAAATAATTCGATTTCCTATAACAATTTTAGCGATTCAAATCGAACGCGCAAAGAACTGATTTTAAGGCGATTTTATAGTCGACTGAGAGCGAAAAAAATTTAAGAAATTTATATTTCCATTATCTTTTCTTGGTCCAATATGGCATCTAAAGCTGTCAACGTGTGCCAATATTTACTTAAAAAAAATTTGGCAGATTGTTGATACAAAATGAAAGCAGCCTGAGATGCGAATTATGTGTCCAAACAATGTTGAGTTTATAGAATTGGGCTCAGATGCCTAACGTAAAAGATTTATGTCCTTAAAAATTTGTTACGATTATGCGTGCGATATCGATGTGGTAGTAAACATGAACATATTACTACACACTACTGCATCAATACCGCACGCATACATACGCACAAATTGTGGAGAAAACAGCGACGTTGTAGAGTTTGATCTTCAGTTTAGCGTCGCCTTAAAACTAAAATAAATTGTGTTTATCGACTATTTCTGAATGCCGCGACGTTCTATCCATTTTACCGTAGAAAGAGAGACGAGACGAGTGCGGTGTGTACTGTCGCAATGAAACTCTCGACACCTCATTATGCAGCGAGGTCATTGAGCGTGGAGATCACCGTGTCACAAGGCCGGTAATACGTAGGTGTCTTCCTGACCCCAGCGTGTATATTGTAGCGCTCGAGATGAGTATCGCCCGCGCGACGCGCACCCGAACTATACAGTCCGTCATTGCGGCTTCTAATTAAAAGTCATGGGGGGATACGATTAAACGTCCGGAGCGATCGCTTGTCCCGCAATGACGAACCGCATCGTCGGATAACGGATTACCCGTTAATCTTAGCATGTAACAGTGTCCCCAAGCCATTGTATCTGCTATGCCGTGCTACTAAATTACAGAGTCCCTCGTTTCTCGATACCGCGGTTAGTCGGATTTGTTAGTTAAAGATCAGAATAATTATTTAAAGCAATATAAAAATTGATTGTAGATAATATTGCATTGTAGATCAGATTGCCACAATACTCAAGATTTTTACGCGAGTAAATCAGAATTTAGGTTTTGCACGAACGAAATAAAATCATATGTGTGCATATTATATATATATATATATATATATATATATATATATATATATATGTGCGTGCGTGTGTGTGTATGTGTGTATGTGTGTGTGTGATAAGGGAAATGCAAATTGTAACGGATTAAGATAATTGCATCCTGAAGTTCTTGTTTGAATATGAAGTTTATCGCGGTTACAGAACTTTGAGTAGTTCGACTACTGGCAATCGTGTCCTTGGAACGTGCACTTTGGGAAGAGATCCTTGATTCATCACGAATATCGAACATTGCTGTCTTTCTGTTCTTTCCTTTGTTGTGAATTGCGCTCTCCTTGATAGCAATCGTCCCCGAATAATTTTTCCAAGGTCGGATAAATTAAGATGACACTATACGCAACGGAAAACATCGCAGATATAGGAAAGTCTCTCGCGAGTTCTTCTATCTCTGTTATTGCCGCAGCAAACATTTTAGCGCGAAAAAGCAGCAAGCGCAGCTATCGCAAACGACAGATATAGTGCGGTAACCATTTTATTGCGAACGTCGTGGCGATTAAGTGTAATTGAAGATGGAGCGATGGATGGCTTTGGGAGTAATCGAAACCTCACTACAGCACTGTGACGGAAAAATGAGAAAACGGATAATGTTCACATGCACACATACCATCACATGGATAGAAAGAAAAAAAAATATATATATATCTATGTACACATAAATAAATATGCGCAACAATTAATTTTATTTTAGAGCACGTTTTCACTTTGCTTCGCATACAGAGCATATTAGATCTGTACAAAGAGTGAATATATGAAGATCTTTTCTATTTTTCTATGAAATTTGATTTAACTGGAATTTAAAGTGTATATTTTTTTCGTTGGTAAATTGTTCGCCGCACAGAAAACGGCATAAATTATTATTTTATCTAATTTGTAAAGTAAGACAGATTGTGGAAATATAATTAAAATTTTATTACATTCTACGTGTACACACAATATGAACAATTATGAACGAAAAATGTAACACATATAAATATTTTATACTCATTTTTCATCATTCGTAATTTATGTCGCTATATTATTCCTCTGTAATGGATTTCATGTAATATTTAAAATGCAAAATTAAATCGTCCGAAAATTGCTGGTCTTGTAAACTCGAGCGCTTCTCCACAGCTCTCATCATTTTTATTTTACCGCGAGGTACAGATTTACCTGGAAGACGCGCCGAGATATTTTAATTTCGAACCTCCAGCACTTTTGCGTTTAATGATTAAATATAACGCAGCGCCGTTTGCTTATCGCCGAATAGAGCTGTTGAAAAATACGGGACAACTGCGCAACGCTCGAGGCGTTTCCATTGCAATTACACGGTACCATGCAGGCCGGAAGTAGCGGCGGTATTAAATGCCGAGTTTAATTACACGTCCGGCCCTACGACAGCTACAAAAAGAAATTAATTAAGGCAAACCTTGAGTTGTTACGTAAGTACGTAAGTCAAGGTACTTAACTTTTTACGCGTCTTCGAAGGAGTAATGGAAAGCTCGTTTCGCGCTTATCGCAAGCTCCGTCGTAGCCGCAGCTGGCTACGGCTGGGATTGGCTGTACACCTACACAGAAAGTGGGTCGCCTGTGAGACACACAGCACGAGAAGTCCCTTCGGCGCTGAAGATAAGTACTTTCTCGTCTTGGCTCGTGTCGAAGCAAACGCAGTCGCGATCGTGGGGCTCGTTAAGCTTTTAGACCAAGTTTCTGCCCGCGCTGCGAAACGCTAGGCTAAACCGAGATTCTGATATTCCTTGATGGAGGTCAAATTTGGCAGTTAATCTCGGATGAAGCCCAGGGATTTATGTCCAACGATACGCGTCGCGCGATATCATACTTTAATCGGGCTTAAAATACGAGCCCCCGCGCGACATTACATTAATCCGCG